AAGTCAGACATTTAATAGACTGAGCCACCCAGGCGCCCCGGCTGCGGGGGGAAATTCTCCAGGCTGACTTACCAGCAGTGGAACTGGTGAACTGAAGAGAATGTGGGCACACTAAAAACGGTAATTATTATACCTTGTCAAATTGCCTTTCAAAAACCAGGCTAATTAACACACCCAACACCAGCAGAGGAGAGAGAGACTGAAGTTCCCGCCCCGTCCCCAACTCATGGTGTGGCTCCTGGAAACACAACAGAATACCTTTCTCTTTTTATCTTGCTGCTTATAACTGGCCGAGCAGTTCCTGAGTTAAAACTTCTGGGGCAGATAAACTTTCTTCTAAGAGAATGAGTCGCACGGGGTGGATTTCGTAAATAGGGTAACGTTCATGGGAAACCACTGAACAGGCCTCTGCTGAGGCCGGATGAGGGATTAAGGTACTGACCTTGAAGACCTTTGGCCTCAGATCAGACCAGAGGATTAAGATGCAGAGCTCCCTCCAGGGTTCCTTAGGGTGGTGGGCGCGCCACCTGGTGGAAAGGAGATGTTTTGAATAAAGGTTTCAGAGGCACGAATTTATGAAGTGGATGGATGGAGGCAGAGACGGCTGGATGTATAGTTTGTTTGATGGTGGTATGGAGAAGCAGCTGAGTGGATGGATGGTGGGTGAATGGATAGACGTGTTGATGGATGGGTACATGAGTTGATTGGTGCAGGGTGGGTAGGTGGTGGGAGTGCATGGAGACATTGAGTGGATAGGGCGTAGATGAGTGGACTTAAAGATGGATTGATGGGTGGGTAAGAGAATGAACACGTGGATAAATGGTTGGATACATAGATGGTTGGATGGATGGATGGTTGGATGGATGGATGGATGGATGGATGGATGGTTGGATGGATAGATGGTTGGATGGATAGATGGATACATGCATAGCTATTCATGTATGCATACACTTATCTAGATCTACACACTTAAATCCTCAGCCATTTTTCTTGTACAAATATATTAATGGAATCTTTGAATCTGGGTCAATGTGAAAGATATCAGTTCAGAGGGAGGAGGTGTCTAACGTGGAGGGAAGTGTGTGATCTCAGGGCAGCCAGAATTGGGTTGGTTCTGCATCCAGAACCAAGCATCCAGTTTGCTGGGCTCAGTGGTGCCTCGTTGAATGCCTACATCTAGCAGGGACCTGCGTCCCTCTGTGCCAGCCCCAGTCAGTTAAATAATGAGGTCATGGTGGGGTCTGGTGAGGTCTAACCCAATGTGACTGGTGTCCTTATGAGAGGGGGACTCAGAGACGGACGCACAGAGGGAAGATGTCCATGTCGTGATGGACACATGGGGTGATGGGGTCACAAACAAGGAATGGCGCCAGCCTCCAGGGGTGGGAAACTCGGAACAGACTTGTCCTTAGAGCAGCCGATGGCGGTCGCGGTGCTGCCATCTCGATTTCAGACTTCTGGTCTTCAGAACTAGAGAGGATAAATTTCTGTGCTTCAAGTCCCCCCACCCCAATGTGATAAATGTGCGATAGACACATTTTATTTACTCATTCATACTTTTAAACTTTTTTTTTTTAGGGGGAGAGAGAGAGAGAGAGTGCATGAGCAGGGGAAGGTCAGAGAGAGAGAATCCCAAGTGGGTTCCATGCTGTCAGTGCAGAGCCTGATACAGGGGTTGAACTCATATACTGTGAGATCGTGACCTGAGCTGAAACCAAGAGTCAGATGCTTAACTGACTGAGCCCGCCAGGCGTCCCCACAGCATTCAGGCATAGAGTCCAGCCTCCAGAGGCCACACATAGTTAGAGTCATAGAGTCCAGCCTCCAGAGGCCACACATAGTTAGAGTCATAGAGTCCAGCCTCCAGAGGCCACACATAGTTAGAGTCATAGAGTCCAGCCTCCAGAGGCCACGCATAGTTAGAGGCATATAGTGCAGCCTCCAGAGGTCACACATAGTTAGAGGCATAGAGTCCAGCCTCCAGAGGCCACACAGCTCTGAGCTGTCAGCACAGAGCCTGACACGGGGCTCAAACTCACAAACTATGACACCATGACCTGAGCTGAAATTGAGAGTGAGATGCTTAACCGACAGAGGCACCCAGGCGCCCTGTGATAGGCACGTTTTAAAACATCTCAGTTTCTGTAAATCAGTAGTCCAAGCACAAGCTAACTGGATATCCACTTAGGGACTCAAAAAACTGAAATCAAGGTGTCGGCCAGAGGTTCTCATTTGAGACTCGGCTGTGTTACAAGCTCACTTCAGTTCTCTGTGGCTGGAGCATTGAAGCCTTCATCTCCTAGAGGCCAGCTACTAATTCCTGCGAAATGATCTTCTCCATAAGGCAGATTGCTTCTTTTTCAAGTAAGGAGGCTGTGTCTGTGCTACTTCAAATCTTGAGCACTTCTTAATTCTGACTTCTTCACCTGATTAGGCCAGGTCCACCCCCCAATCATTTTTCTTTTGATTTGCTCGAATGAACTGATTATGGACTTTAGTTACAGCTGCAAAATTCCTCCATTTTTGCCACAGGATCCTGGGAGCAAATCCCATCATACCCCCAACCCTCATGCACACCCGGCGAGAGCGATTTATATTAACTATACACACACCACAACAGCGCACAAGATTGCGGCTGCAGATACTAGGGGCCTAGTTTTTCTATTTCTGAGGTGCACCCGGAGGAGGGAAATCTTGCCCCGAAACGTAAAAGGATTTTCCTTGAACGTTTTTGAAATTAGTATAACCGTCTCTTCCGTGCGCTCGTTCAGGAGTATTTCATTTCTTCATGGGCTTTGCAAAGTCTTCAGAGAGCAGAGTAGAAAAACAGTTTCCCAATCGAACAGTTCCCGAGGGAAACTTGCGGACAGCCTTGGGGAGAACATCTCTCCATTCCCAAGGGGAAGAAGTTAAAGACAGCAAATACGCAGTGCCCCCCCCACCACCACCCCCGAGAAGCCTGCCCGGGTTCAAACAGCCCTCCCAGACCCCAGACCCTCTGTTTCCTCCATGCGAGGAAGAAGTCGCGATCGTATTTATTTTAATGGATAGTTGTTAAGACCCGGAACGCCCACCCACATATCCAGGAGCCGCCCTTGACCTTGGGGCCCCTCCCCCCGCCCCCTCTGCGGCGCACGTTTCAGTGTTCGCCGCGTTGAACAATGCAGGGTCTGTGTACGTGGCCCCCGGCCTGGATTTTCGCTTTGCAGACTTGTGACCTATTGGAGGCATCAGAAGAAACACGTGCCTCATGCAGTGTGGGACCTTCATGAATTGTAACTTTTAATTGGTAATTGCATTATGTCATACGTCATTTAAAAACCATATATTACGTGTAAAACGAATTATGATGTTGGTGTTTAAACTTTATGTATTTTAAGACCAATTCTATCAAAGTAAGAAAGGTGACATTGTTCAAGCATGAAAACGGTATGTACTTGCTTTGTTATATATTCTTACGTAGTTTTTTAATATAATTATATTTCAGTGCCAATATAATTGGTAAGTGAAAGTAATTAAAGAGTAAATAAGCGAATGGTAGTCCGATGTTAATGCTGTTTGATCCGATGCACGGTTATACTGCAATTCAGACGGTATAACCCGTTTGGCTCCAGGCTGCGGACCCCGCTGCGCGACCCCCGGCGGGGCCTCCGAAGCGACTGCCGCGCAGGTGGCGGCTGGGGGGCGGGGCGCACTCGCTCACCTGCGCACGCGCAGTTCAAAGCCCGGGCTGGCCCGCCCCCCCCACCCGGGCTCTCCCGGAAGTCCCGCCCTAAGGGGCAGGGCCAGAGCCGGCAGGAGTAACGGGGAGCCGCCGCGCGGCCACTTCCGCGGGCACGAGCGCCGGAAGCGGAAGTGCGTCACAGGGGCGGACGGTGGCGACGGCGGGTGGCGTCTGGGGCGCCTCCGGCGGACGGTGGCGGCGCCGGGCAGAGAGGCCGCGACTGCCGGGGTCGTCGAGGGGTGGCGGTGAGCTCGGGCCTGGGCGGCGGTGGCCGGGGGCGCAGGCGGAGCCCCGCTCCGGTAAGCGACGATCTGCGACCATCCCTTTCCCCGAACCGGGCCGGGGGGTCCGGCGGGCCGTGGTCGTCAGGGGCCGGGGTCTGTGAGGGCCGGGGGCTTCGGGGGTGCGGAGTCTGTGAGGGCCGGCGGTCCGGGAGCTCTAGGGGTTCGGGGGTCTGAGGGCCTGGGGCTTCGGGGGGCCGGGGTCTTTGAACGGCGGGGGATTCGCGGGTCCGGAGTCTGTGAGGGCCGGCGGTCCGGGGTCTCTGGGGGTCCGGGGATCTGAGGGCCGGCGGACCGGGGGCTCTAGGGGTCCGGGTATCTGAGGGCCGGGGTCTTCGGGGGGCTGGGGATTCGCCGGTCCAGAGTCTTCGCGGGGCCGGGGTCTGTGAGGGCCGGCGGTCCGGGGGCTCTGGGTGTCTGGGGATCTGTGAGGGCTGGGGGCTTCGGAGGGCCGGTGTGTGTGAAGACCAGGGGCTCCGGAGGGCGGGAAGTTCCGGGGATACGGGGCCTCTGAGGGCCGCGGGCTCCGGGGGGGGGTGGGGGGGGTCTGTGATGGCCGGGGGCTCCAGGGGCCCGGGGTCTGGGGGTTGCAGTGTGTGCGGGCCTGGGTTCTGCGAGGGCCCGGGGTCTGCGAGGGCCCGGGGGTTGCAGGGGACGGTTCTGCGAGACCGGGGGGCTGGGGGAGGGGTGAAGTCTCTGAAGTCCGGGGTTCGCGAGGGTGAGGGACTCCCGGGGGCTGGGGGCTCCCGGGGCGGGGCGGGGGTCTGGAGCCTGGGAAGCCGGCAGTCGGCGGACCCCCGGGGGCCGGGGGGCAGGGGGAAGCTGGAGTCTGAGCACCTGGGGGTTCTGGGTGTCAGGGGCTCCTGTAGTCGGGGTTTTCGAGGGCTGGGGTCTGCTGGGCACTGGGCTCCGGGGGGGAGGCGGGGTCTGTGAGGGCCGGGGCTCCGGGGGCCTGGGGTCTGCGGGGTGTGCAGTGTGTGCGGGCCTGGGGTCTGCTAGGGCCGGGGGCTGCAGGGGGGGTGGGGGAAGGGGGAAGTCTGGGGTTTGTGAAGTGTGGGGTTTGTGAGGCCGGGGGCTCTGGGGCTCGGGGCGGGGGCTGGAGTCTGGGAAGCCCTGGGTTTTCGAGGGGAGGGGCTGGGGTCTGGGTGGCTGGGGTCAGGGGAAGCTGGCGTCTGAGCAGCTGGGGGCTCCGGGTGTCATGGGCTCCCGGAACCGTCGTCTGCTGGGACTCGGGTCTGCAAGGTCCCGGGCAGCAGGGTCCTGGTCTGCGGGTCTCCGGGGTGGGGGGGTCACAGTGTACGAGGCCTGCGGGCTGGGAGCTCCCGAGGGTGGAGGTCTCTGGAGGGCTATGGGGGCAAGGGGTGGGGGCTGGGGGCAGGGGTCTGCGCAGGTGAGGAGTTGGACGGTGCTGGAGAAGCCAAGGGTCCTGTGGCAGCGGGCGTGCCCTCGAGGCCATGGCCAAGCTGGGGTTTGTCCTGGGGAGTTGTGGGGCGGGGGTCCGAAGGGTGATGGACGCCAGTCAGGGGGTTTGGGGAGCAGTGCACGCAGAGCCTGGAGTCTGGGCAGCTGGAGGGAGGGAGATCGTAGGGGCGGGGCTGTGCAGGGGCCACCTGGGGTCCGCAGGGGAGCCGGGCAGAGGCTAGCAGGTGACCGGGTGGGGGCGCTGTGCCGTGGGGCCCTCGGCGTCCTGCGGCAGGTGCTAGGTGGCAGCCACGGCTGTCACCCGTGCCCTGGACTGTGCCGACCCGGCCGCCCGCAGGGACCGCTCCCCGGTGCGCCTGGGGCCTCACCGGAAGTCTCCGGCAGCCCTGGGGCGGGGCGGCCCCCTGTGTTGTCTGGGCTCCTGCCCGGAAGAGCGCCCCGTGGGGTCAGCCCCATGGGGACATGCTGTCCCGGAGGCGGCGGGGCACGCAGGTGCGACCAAGCAGGGAAGGGCCCCTGCACTTGTCCCTTGGCCTCGGCGACGGGACACACCGCCAGGCCCCCAGTCACTGAGCCGGGGTTTCTGATTGTTGTCTGGCCGGAAGCTTCCTTCCTGTTTTTCTGGGCCCGTCCTTCCCACACGCTGTGTCCTGTCCGGGCCAGTCCTGCGGCCGCCGGGCAGCGAGGTGCAGCGGGGGTGGGCGCGGCCCTGGGGCACCCACAGGTGTGCACACCAGGGGTGTGGGGGTGTGCGGGGCGGCCAAGGCTCACCCGCACCTGCGAGGCTCTTTGAACGCTCCTCGCCACATTGTCTTTTCCCTTCGAGTCAAAGAAATGGCCTCATCTCAGGTGACGGTGGCTTTTAATGAGATAGAGGCCAGTGGAGACGCACACTTGTTTGTCCCCTGCTGGCCTGCAGAGGCTGATGCTCTCTGCAGTGACCCTGATCCTCACCCCTCACCCTCACCCTGACTCTCCCCCTCCCCCTCCCCTACACTCTCATCCATACCCTCCCCTTCATCCTCACCGTGATCGTGATCGGCACCCTCACCCTGACCCTCACCGTCACCCTGACCTTCATTCTCACCTTCACTCCCAGCCTGATCCTCACTCTGATCCTGACCCTCCCCGTCACCCTCCCTCTCCCCCTGACCCTCAGTGTCACCCTCAGCCTGACCCTTACCCTCACCGTCACGCTGACGTTCACCTTCTCCGTCACACTGACCTTCATCCTCACCCCGACCTTCATCCTCACCCCGACCCTCACCCTGACCCCGACCCTCAGCCTCACCACTGCTGTGTGTTTCAGGCCCCAGCTCCCGGCTATGGCAGCGGCCACCATAGTGCACGACACGTCTGAGGCGGTGGAGCTGTGCCCCCCGTACGGCCTGTACCTGAAGCCCATCACCAAGATGACCATCAGCGTGGCGCTCCCGCAGCTGAAGCAGCCGGGCAAGTCCATCTCCAACTGGGAGGTGATGGAGCGGCTCAAGGGCATGGTGCACAGCCACCAGTTCTCCACGCTGCGCATCTCCAAGAGCACCATGGACTTCATCCGCTTCGAGGGCGAGGTGGAGAACAAGAGCCTGGTCAAGTCCTTCCTGGCCTGCCTGGACGGCAAGACCATCAAGCTGAGCGGCTTCTCCGACATCCTCAAGGTGCGTGCCGCTGAGTTCAAGATCGACTTCCCCACGCGCCACGACTGGGACTCCTTCTTCCGCGACGCGAAGGACATGAACGAGACGCTGCCGGGCGAGCGGCCGGACACCATCCACCTGGAGGGGCTGCCCTGCAAGTGGTTTGCGCTCAAGGACTCGGGCTCCGAGAAGCCCAGCGAGGAGGTGCTGGTGAGGGTGTTCGAGAAGTTCGGGGAGATCCGCAACGTGGACATCCCCATGCTGGACCCCTACCGCGAGGAGATGACCGGCCGCAACTTCCACACCTTCAGCTTCGGGGGCCACCTGAACTTCGAGGCCTACGTGCAGTACCGCGAGTACGTGGGCTTCATCCAGGCCATGAGCGCCCTGCGCGGCATGAAGCTCATGTACAAGGGCGAGGACGGCAAGGCCGTGGCCTGCAACATCAAGGTGAGCTTGGGGTGCCCCCCGCCCGCTCCGCCGCGGAGAAACGCCAGCGGCCACACTCACGGGGCTCTCCCAGGACTCGCAGGTGGGGGAAGGGCGCAGGTGGGCGGCCGCGTGGGGCAGGGTGACACCGGCAGTGCTCCCCGCGGAAGGAGCCGAGCAGGGCCACGTCCTGGCCCGGCGTCCCTGTCCCCGGGGCCGAGGGTTCCCTGTACTGCGGGGACTCGCACGTGGGTCACCCGCAGCCACCGCGGTTGCTGGCCGCGAGCGCCGGCAGGCGGCCTGGGCGCAGGGCTCCGCGGTCCCGCTAGCAGCGGGGCCTCCCATCCTAAAGGGGGACTTTCCCTTTCCATGTGAACGCTGTGGCGGGTCACGTGTGGTCGGGTCGCGGCTGGGGTCAGGACGCTCCGTGCACAGTCCGGAGGGAGCGGGCGCCGCAGATGCGACCGCGGGGTTCCGGCCACGCGGGGGGCAGACCTGTGCCCGCTCGCCCGCCGCAGGGCTCTCTGCACCAGGCTGTGCCAAGCGGTCCCGCAGCCGCGTCCCGGCCGCGTCGTGACCCCGCCCCGCTTCCTCCCGCAGGTGTCCTTCGACTCCACCAAGCACCTGAGTGACGCTTCCATTAAGAAACGGCAGCTGGAGAGGCAGAAGCTGCAGGAGCTGGAACAGCAGCGGGAGGAGCAGAAGCGCAGGGAGAAGGAGGCGGAGGAGCGGCAGCGGGCGGAGGAAAGGTACCCGTGCAGGGCGGGGCCTGGGTTTGCGTGCGCGGCGCGCAGGGGTGGGGGTGACGGCGCGTGTGTGCATGAGGGCGTGTGTGCGCAGGGGTGGGGGTGACGGCGCGTGTGTGCATGAGGGCGTGTGTGCGCAGGGGTGGGGGTGACGGCCCGTGTATGCATGAGAGCACGTGCGCGCAGGGGTGGGGGGTGACGGCGCGTGTGTGCATGAGAGCACGTGTGCGCATGCGCTGCGCCTCCGCGGGGCCGGACCGCCGCCTCCGTGCACAGCCTCGCTGCGCGCTGTTCCAGCCCAGTCCGATCAGGACCTCGCCCCTGTCGCCCTTGTACGTTTCGTGTCGTCGTCGAAGTAGCGTCAGGAACGGGACTTACTTACGTTTCGGGGAGATAGAAATTCTACATGTTCCGCCAGTTGTGCTGGACTTTCGATATTTTCCCCTCCACCCCCAGCTGCCACTCGGACAGGCTGCCTTCGCGCCCTCACCTGCCCCCACGCACCTGCGCGCCGCGGCTCCGCCACAGTAGGAAGGTCCCAGAGTCCGTGTCCTGGACCCTGGCCGTGGGAGGAAGTGGGCGCTCGGCCTTGAGCACGGGGCGCCCTGTGTGCTGGGTGGAGGCAGTTCAAGGCCACAGGGCTCCCCGACGGCGGGCGGCGCCGCCTCTGTGGTCACGGAGGCTCGGCCGCCCTGCCCCGTCGCTGCAGCGCCTGCACCGGGTGGTTGGCGCTCACGCAGCACTGCAGCGGGGCTGGGCGTCCTTCCTGGGCGGTGAGGAGCCTGCGGCCTTGGCCTTGGTGAGGCGCTGACACGGGGGCCAGAGAGGCCCTCTGCGCCGCCTGCAGGGGGAGCTGTGGCCCCGGACATGCTCCCACCTGAGGGGTCTGGGGACCTGGTGCGTCCCCGTCCCCTGGGCTGCACGTCTGCACCTCGGGAGGGACCCGGACGGGCCTCCCCCTCCTCAGCCGGGCCGTGCGCTACCTGGGCTCCCGGCCGGGGCGCCCGTGCCTTTTCTCACCAGCCCCCTTCCTGGGTACTTGACTGTCCTGACGCCACAGCGCACGTGAGACCGGCTCCCTGTGGCCCTTGCTGACCTGGCCTATGCAGCTCTTGGTCTCCTGCTTGCAGTTGGGGCCTCATTGTGGGGACCCCTCACCTCTGGCGGAGCACGGACCATTTAGGCTGCGCTCCGTGTGCAGTTGCTTTCGGTGGAAGCCGGCACAGGACTCCCGTAAGCTCCGTCAGCGGGTCTGCGCTGTCCGGGACCCCGCATCCTGGGGGTCACACCCACTGTTCACCGGGTCCTTAGGGGGGGGGTCACGGCCCCTGCTCACTGGGTCCTGGGGGAATCAGAGCCCGTGCTTACCCCAGGTCCTGGGGTGGGGGTCACACAGGTGCTGTTTTCTGTCCTAGTGGCTGCCTTCCACACACTCGTACGAATGGGAGCGTAGGCTGCATAGTCTACCTTGTTTAGTCTTTTCCCTAGCATAGTACTTCCAGAATGTTCCACATGGCTGTGCTCACGGGCATTCCGTTCATTCTATTGACTCCCACGGCCGCTCTGTGGAGCTGCAGTGCCGGCGCTCTGTGCGCATTGGGAGCACATTTGAGTATCAGCTGTTCGCTGAGCAGCTGTTTCTGAGCCTGGGGGTGTCCGCTGGGCCGGCGCGGGGGGCGGGCGCACGGCGGGTCCCACGGGCTGGCGCGGGGGCGTGCGCGTGCTGGGTCCTATGGGCTGGCGCGGGTGCTTGTGGGGGGG